GGGGTGGAGAATTGTCTTATCATTGCCGCGCTCTTTGCGTAAGATCGATTTAATCTTTTTGTTTTAAAAAATTGGCCATCATATGTTTTATGCCTTAAATCTTTAATTACACAAAGGATGTGAAATTAATAAATCGATGAAATCTCTGCAAATAAGAAATAGCGAGGACGTAAAACCTGACTAAAATAAAAGGATTAGATTTATGAAAACGTCCCTATAATCGTAAGGACAATCTTTGAGAACCACAAAATTCGCAGTTAATTTTTAGACGTGAAAACTGGTCTCTGCAATGCTTTTAAGAGAAAGGTGTCCTGTGCAAAGAAGAGAGAACCTATCTGCCTATATTTGTGTGTGGATTTCTGTCTTGCTTTCTTCAGTGTTCGCTTTGTTTCCTTTGAGGTCTAGGCTATTCAGATGGCTTACATCCGTTTTCTGCACCCACATAATTCGATGCAGCTCTGGGAAGCCCCAAGCAAGAACTGCAAGTTGGTGCGTACGTATAATAAGCGTAACAAACAGCTTCACAGGAAAATGTATAATCTTTAGTTTATATTTCTATATTTATTTGTTTTGGGTTTTGGGTTTTTTTTGGGACAGTTTTCTACTCAACTCAGTAAAGCTATTAGGTGCAACAAGCCGATTGAGGTATGGTACATGTAATAATTAACTATCAAGATATCTATCATTATAATATGCTTAGCCGGGTTCGTGTAGCCTCTTCCCCTTGCACGCAAACAAAGTGAGTTTGAATCATTTGGCCGAGGTATAGACCCTGTCATCCTTTGTTATTGTATCGACCAAACCAGCCTCTAAGTACTCTACGACGATGCCTTAGTGGGCTTAAGCTGCCAACAGTTACAATCAAATGATCATATTTATAGAGTTAAATTAAAATGGATCAGGGTACAAGACAAGAGGAAGACCAAGAAAGACCTGGGTCCTGGGTGTGAAGGGTGCCCTGAGAACATACAATAATCCCACCCAGCCAGGCCATCAAACTTGCTAGAGACAAGAAGCTCTTTCTCCCCTCGACGCCCTAGAGGTACAAGAGGACGGGTAAAGTAAAGTAAGTAAGTAATTAAAATGGAAGGGTAGACACAAGAACACAAAGAAGGTTCATCCAATTGTGCATTTGATCACCGGTACATGTATTACTTTTATTGTTGCGAAATGTCTGTCTTTTAAACGCTCGTACCTTTTTTCTTCTCTGTTCAAATCTTTTGTTGAATGTTCTGAGATGTCTTGGAAGCTCTAGGGGTCTGCAGAATAAATGGTAACGTAAAAGGTTGAAAAAGGTGCTTGGTCACTTTTTGAAGCGTGATTTTTTTCACACAC